TCATCGTTGCTACATCGCACCCTGACTGGCTCGTCTCCTCCCCGAGACCCCTCTGCCAGGGGATCTCCAGGAACACAAGCCTTTAAGACCCCAGACACTATTCCAATTGACAGCCGGGCATCTTCTGCTTTCTTCACCACACTTTGCTGTAGCACCCTTATCTTCAGTGATCTTTTCATGAAGGTGAGTATCAAGCCATGTTAAAAGCCTCAACTTTCTACCTCAGGGTGGCTGGTGGTTTTGAACAGCTGACCTTAAGGTTATCAGCCCAACACACAACCACTATGCCACCTGGGCTCCCAAGTATGTTTTAAGAAACTTACTTGTGTGACAGAGAGCCAAGGGCTGGTATTGAAAAGTCTTTGAGTTAGCAAGCGGTGTGTACAGAATGCTATCTTCTATGGAAGAGCTGAACGGGATGAGAATACGTGGGGGGGGCTCATATATGCATGCATACATTCTGGAAGAAGCAAGTGCTAACTGTTACAGATGTGGGGAAAACAAACCAGACAAAAGTGGAAGGAAGCCTTTGGGATGTGTACGCTGTTAGGAACAGAAGGGTGCAGAAAGAGTCCAAGGTAACTGTACCGTCTTTTCCCCAAATTAAAAGAGCTGGTCATATATTTAAAAGCCATTTCTGCCCCCTGCAAAAGAAGAGAGTCCATACCCATCCCTGTTTTCACTATCAAAGAGTCCAGAGGCGGGTGCTGGCCATGCTAGCTTACCGATTGATCTTCCTCTTCTGCTGGGATTTGATCACAGTGCTTTCTTCATCTCGCTTCTTCAGCACCTGGAAGTTGTACTCTAACTTCTCTTGGTTTAGCTGATAGATCGCTTTCATCTGCTGAAGCTGTTGCTCAAGGATCTACAGTGAACAGAGATCAGGATGACAATTGGCCCCCAGCAACATTTGTTGTGCCTGAGGCCTCCTGACCATTTGTTCTGGAGACGGATCAGAGAACCAATACGTGGGTGCATTGACCCAGACTTTTAGGAAACCTATGATTAGAGCAACGTTCAGGGTCAACCAGATAAAACACAAATCATTCAATGGCAAGCAAAGTCTATGGGCCCAAAGCGGAAGACAGATTAGAGTTAACACTTTCAAGCCTGACTCAGGCTGGCACTTGGCACCAGATCCTTAAGAGATCTGAGCAACCCCTCAGGGACACCATCGTGGTCGATACTGCCACAGAAACGTGACATGGCCCCTCTGGCACGGTGGTGTCCTTAGAAAGCAATGTTCATGGTCAAGAAGGGCCTGCCCACTCAGTCATCCTTACTTTTCGGATGTCGATGGGCTGTGTTCACTCGTGCAGTAAATGTTCACTGAGGGCTGAAGGAGCTCTAATGGCACACAGGAGAAGTGCTCACCAGGGTTTGGTGGTTCAGTGGGAGAGAGATGGGTGGGGCAGCCTGCTGTGTGAAGATCCCAGACTCAAAACCAAACTCACTGCCTGCCGTTGGGTCCATGCTGACTCATAGCGACCCCCTGCAGGTTTCTGAGACTGTAACTGTGGACGGGAGTCGAAAGCCCCACTCTGAAATCCTACGGGGCAGTTCTACCCTGTCCTATAAGGCTGCTCTGGGTCAGGTCAGGAAGCTCCTTGAGGGCACACACCCACCACCACCTTTCCCTTGGGTACTGACTAGGGCAAGCAGGAGCTGAGGACCTGCTTGGTGGCAAGTCAACAGTTTGGCGTGGACTCAAAGGCCCTGTGGGAGTGAAGTAATCTGGTGTCAACTTGAGACTATTCCGAGTGAAGGGGTGGAGTTTAGCCTGTCAATCAGGTCACGGCTTGATGACCTCATTTGGAGGTGCTACAAAGATAAACAGCTCGCTGGAGGTGGGACACACACTCACTCCCTGTGAGACATTCCTGCTGAGAAGATGCTCTTTGCTTCATCTCCCTGCAAGATATTCCTGTTGACAAGCCACATGGATCTCTACTGATGGCAGCCAGAGCGTTGGAGCTGGAGGAGCCACGTGGAAATCCATGCCAGCACTAAGATGCTTCTACCGCCACTGGATTCACAAGACCCTCTACACACTGGCCTGTGATCTTCCTGCATTAGGTGTCACTGCATGAGTCTGAAGAGGAATTTACTGACTGGTGTCAGACATATGGGCTAATATCGGACTTATGGACTTGATCTGGACTGGGCTGGGATGTTATCTTAATGTACAATTGCTCTTTTATATAAAGCTCTTTCTGATACACATGAATCTCCCTGGATTTTTTTTCTCTAATCAACCCTGACTAACACAGACACCAAGATTAGTTGGCTTATTCTGGATGCCATTTCAAATATCATTCAAGCGGCTGAGAAAACTAGTGAAACTGAGAACTTTGGTGTAGTGATTGAAGACTGTGGAGGCGTGGACAACACTGAAGCCATGTAGCACCATGATCGCGAGTCTGTAGACAAGGCTTCCTTGAGCTTAATTGAGAAGAGCTTCTCCGTAGAGGAGGAGGAAGATCCAAAGGGTGTTCCAGAAACTACCTCTGAAGGATATGCCTTCCAAGCTCCGATGGCACCCCGGAACCTTTAATGTCTAAGACTGTACAGCGGAGTCCTAAGGTTGCTTGTTGTGTCCTTTGTTTGGTAAAAGTTTCTCTTCATTCTTTCTCTACTGAGAATTCTTTACGAATGTGATTTGTGATTGTAGCACTTTTTACGACAAAACTGCTGGACAGTTCCAGGCTGTGCACACCGTGTGAAGCCGATCTCCTACCATTGGGCTTCTTATTTCTGTGTGGAATTTCCTATCTCAGTGTCCTGTAAATAAAGATTAAATTCCACCCTTTTATGTAAAAAAAGAAATTAGAATTTCTAATTTATATGAAGCGTGTTTCCCCCCCAAAGGCTCACGGTCCTTGAGTCAATTCTGACTCACCATGACCATAGAGGACAGAGTGGAATCGCCCCTTTGGGTTTCTGAGACTTCCCATCTTTACAGGAGCAGATGGCCTCCTCGTTCGGCTCACTGGGTAGTCTACTAGACCACGTGGCCCTGAGAAGTCACTCCTGAGTCACAGCGACTCTGTGTACCACTGAAGGACACACGGCACAGTCTCATGCAACGGTTATACCGTCACCGCGTCAATCCATCGCCTCGAGGGTCTTCCTCTTTTCTCACCGCCCTTCCACTTCACCAAGTATGAGCTCTTGTACTGGAGCCGGTTCGCTCCTGGCAACATACTGAGTACGTGAGACCAAGTCTTACCATCCGAACGTCTGAGCATCATTCTGGCTGTGCTTCCTCAAGGACAGAGTCTTACCATCC